ATATATATATATATATATATATATATGTGTGTGTGTGTGTGTGTGTGTGTGTGTGTGTATGTATGTATCTCTCTCCATATATACACATATATACATTAAAATGTACAATTTTGTTCAATAAACATTTGATTTCACTAATTTCATTTGAAATATATATCCCGCAAATTTAGATTTAACATAGAAGGAATTATTCTACCTTAATTAATTTTCTGCCTAATATTTTCTTTCCGTGTGTAGCTTGTCCTGAGCGGCGATCAGGCTCAAAATCCATTCGTAGCTTTGTAGAGGGAAGTTGTGAGGTTTCCGTTCTGGTCGGCAAGACGAGCCGGCGCGGCGGGCCAGGTAGATACAGGCAGGCCAGCTGGATCGGCGCAGGGCCTCCTTTACAAAGGTGGCCCTGGTGAGCGAGACTAGCCCAGCGCCTGCCGTCGTCATGGAAACAACTCCCCCTCTTCATGACCTTTACCGCGTAATATTTCGTATAAATGCATCCATCATCAGATAGTCTTGTTCTTCACTTCACACTTCGCGACGTTGGCGTATTCTAGAGGCGGACTGGGAACTATTCAATGGAAGTAACTGAAAACAAGTTTGTTTGTTTTTTTATTTTTTTGTTTTTTGTTTTTTTGTTTTTTCGGCTTAGCCTAAGGCTTGTGTGATTTGTATTGTGTTGCAGTTGGCACGCATTTCGCATTTTACTGCTATGTGTAAGTGGCTGGTGTGGGTTCGCGTCGGACCTTAGTCATGAACCAAATCGGCGTTTGTGTTGCACTACGTCCTCAGAATGTCAGAGGGGATTGCATGTCTTATTTGTCCTATTGTGAGGGCATGTCTAGCTAATCGTTTTTGTGTTTCCAGAGCTTCGTTGGTTTGAAAGGCTTCATAGGCTTCGTTAAACGAAAGTCGTCTCAAGCATTGAGTGAAGGACTCGATATCAAGTTCCTTCCTCAGTACTTTCAACCGTTTCCGAAACGTGCTATGAGCCGTAGAACTTTGTTCTGTACTAGCTCAAGTGTATCCTTGTACTTCTGTGATGTGGTCCACCAAGTTGCCGCAGCGTTTACACGTTTTATAGAGTGCCAAGCGAAGTTCTAAGGGGAGTGTAGGGTCCCTCAAAGGAGATTGTAAAAGCGAACCCTTTGCTGTAATTTTGATCGAATTCGACTGACATGTAAATGCCAGCGCATCCTTCGATCAAATGTGATGCCGAAGTAAGTTGCCTTATGCGCCCGTGTCAGGTTTTGTGTGACCAAGTGTAATTTGTTTTAGTGGTGTAAAACGTTAAGTTTATTTGTGCTTTCGGCGGGGGTAACAGATTGCCTGCAACTTTTCCGCTGAGAAAGTCAAGTGGTTTTGTTGCGCCCTTTTCAGCGTCAGATTCATCTGTCTGAAAACAACCCTGATGAGCCCTGTATATCATTGCTTTGTGGGAGCGCCATCGAAGAAGAAGAAGAAGAAGAAGAAGAAGAAGAAGAAGAAGAAGAAGAAGAAGAAGAAGAAGATGATGATGATGATGATGATGATGATGATGATTACCGAGTTTTCATAAATAAATTGTGATACTGGATCATTATTGATTATACTTTGTATTTTCAAAAGTATTTTAAAACACTATTTTGTATCTCAAATCCTTGTAAGGAAGTATTTTGTATTTGGTATCTAAAATATTATCAACGGAGTATTTTGTGTTTTGCATCTCAAATACTTTTTTCAAGTATTTTGCCCAACTCTGACTGAGGTATAGCGATGTTAGAGTAGGCGGTATTGTTTAAATAGATATTTACGACTGATGCAGTGAGACACAAAATTACCCTTTATCTTTCATTGCCCTAAGAAACTTCCAGTAGTCTGAACCCAGTTTATCATAGGTAATACCACGAGTGCTTTAGAAATTGTCGATAAATCCACGTCTCGCGAAGCGAGGATTTATCAGAGAATTTCCAAAGCAAGAGTGGTATTTAATAGGAACATTCCACAAGTGAAATTAAGTCTAACAGTGTTCCAAAATGCGCCAAATATTGCAAATAACTAAAAGCTATGTTAAAATCTCATGCGACACAGCGATCAATGTTGTATACCGTCACCTAAGATAGATAAGTCACAGTTTATGATTGGCAAGTAGGAAGAAGCGGTAAGAAAAATCGGGTAGAAAAATCTTTAAACTGTTTGAGATACACCGCTCTGATTGAGGGATTTTGTATGTATAGTTAAACACTATTGGTTTTAATTTCACGAGTGGAATAGTCGTGCTAATCCTTGTGCCCCTAACGTACTTCATCTTCTCTATTCATCTCATGTTTATTCTTATATATATTCATAGAGACTGCAAAATCCCTTTAAGGGCAAAGGCCTCTTGTTTCAACAGGGTGAAAATTGCCTTTCACATTTACATAAAATGAAATTGTTTTCCCACAAAATGAAATTACACATAATTACACAATTTTACACAAAATTAAAATTTTATTTTTGTCTCAAACTCTTCCGTCAGTGTCTTCCACTTCTCTCACTCTCTCGCCTAACCTTTACTCTGACCCTCGTGTTGGTTAACGTTAACTTCATCTGTCCAGTGCCGCAACTAGCCAAATTTTGCCCCGGGCAATACTGAAACTCCCCCCCCCCCCC